TTGTACAAATATCATCAAGTAATGGCTTCTCAACCACTTTATATCATTTTATGTTATTAATCTTTACAGCAACCTTTTGTGGTAGGTCTTATTGTTCTCATTTTCCAGACTAAACCCCTGCCCAAGGTCACACAACTAAGCACATGGTAAAGTCTCAAATTTTCTATATGCCATCAAAGCATCTTAGCAGAAAGATACATGAAAAAGTAAATTTCTTTCCTTCCATAAAAGGAAAAGAATTCAATTTGTAATGAATTCTTTCTTTGTTTTTTGTCAGTCTGGGGGCTTGAACTCAGAGCGTGGGTCCTGTCCCTGAGCTCTTTCAGTCAAGGTTAGTGCCCTACCACTTTGAGCCACAGCTCCACTTCTGGTTTTCTGGTGGTTAATTGGAAATAAGTCCAGACATTCCTGGGCTTCCTTATAATTGTGATCCTTAGAGCTCAGCCTCCTAAGTAGCCAGGATTACAGGTGTGAGCCACCATACCAAGGTTATGAATTCTTTATAATTAGTTATTTATAATGAATACATGATGGATGAGATATTTGAGGTAAGATGTTTCTAAATTATTGTTCACTTTTAACCCTTCTAAATGAGCAGAAAGAATCAGAGGTACTAAAGTAAAATTCCTGTTGATCACGTATTGGTGTGAATTCACTCCCTAACCCCTGTAACCCTGCAAAGCTATGGGGAAGCCCGCTGAGTATTTTTTCCTGTCTGTTCACTTTATCAGTAAAGTAGATGAGACTCCAAAATGTAAATGCATTTCTAAAGATCATATAGAAATTTGATAACAGAACTGTGCTTGCAATGCTGATCTGCCATAATCGTAGGCTTTTTCTTTTTGCTAAGTTATTCTGTTTCCTGGAGTTTGTGAGCACGTTTACAAAAGGTAGGGAGGAAGTGGGACATTACTGAACTCTGAGGTACAAGAGGGTTCAAACATTTATCTCACCACACACCCTTATTTAGGCACAGATGAAACTTGGAAGGACCCTGGATAGGAGAGCTGAGGAAGACTCCAGTTTCCTGTGGATTGGCAGACCTGGGTGGAGCCAGGCCTGATGTGAGGAAGAAAACCCCTTGGCCCTGGAGGGATGGAAATGGCTGCCAGGGTTGTCCCAGAGGGATGCAGGCAGTGAGACTCTGGAGCCTTTGCTTCTGGTCAGTTCTCAGCTAAAGGGTATGGTCCAAGTCATGCACGCCCTACCCCCCCCCCAGTCTCCTTTTAGCCATGACAGTAAAGGAGGCTGAGGCTTAAGGCCTTCATGGAATATGGTAAGTGTGTGTGTGTGTGTGTGTGTGTGTGTGTGTGTGTGTGTGTGTGTGTGTGTGTAAGGGGGATGATGAGCAGAACACAGGAGTCTGAACTTGTCCTCTCCACTAAGAGATGAATGTGGCTCCAGGGGAAGGGACAGTTGTGTCATCGGGGGATAAGCCAGAGGGAAAGCCTTGCTGAGGAGGACAATTGTGGAAGGAGAAGCACTCACTCCAAGGCAGGCTGTGAGTGTGGCAACCCAGAGAGGCTGCAGTGGGGCCTCAGCCAGCACCCTCTTCACCACTGTGTGAGCCATAGTCTGTTAATGCAGATTCCCAACACCAACCCCACCCCAGACCACATAGCTCAAGATTGTATGTGAAACCTGTGCTGTACAATTCCCACCAGGCTTTCTATCGCTGTCAGTTGCTCATCATGTCCTCTCCCCTTTCTCCCCTCCCCTATCCAGACAACTGGGTGCTTCCTCTCTCACACACACAGCAGCTCCCTGTGCTGCACGCCTTGTCTCCTCAGCCCAGGGAAAGACAATGCCTTCAGGAAAAACTGCCTGGGGTCTCCACTGAGTCCCCTTTCTTTTCTTCCTCCATTCTTTTTTCCTTCCTTCATCCCTCCCTTCGTCTTTTGTGCTTTCCTGCCCAGGCTGTTCTGGAGCTCCTAGGCTCAACTGAATCTCCTTCTTTAACCTCCTGTCTAGCTGAGACTTAATGGTTGTGCCACTGAATCTAGCTCTCATTTCTGTTTGATCTCAAAGTTCCTTCATGTGTCCTGGCTCCCAAGTTGATTTTGCTCCCATTTCCCCCCATTTGCTCCCTAACTTTATGGGATGGGAAACAATAGCTTGCAGTTCTAGCACTGCCTTTTCCCTACAGTACTGTGATTCAGAACATAGAGTAATATTTCCTTCCATGAGACAAGTTATCTTGTCATCTTTGGAGGATTTATTTGTCTATTTATTTATTTATTATTTTGGTTCCTGTCTTGGGGCTTAAACTCAGGGCTTGGGAGTTGTCCCTGAGGTTTTATTTTTCTCAGGTCTAGTGCTCTACCACTTGAGCCACATATCTACTTCTGGCTTTTTTGGTTTGGGTGGTTGATTGAAGAGAAGAGTTTGACAGATTTTCCTGTCCAGGGTGACTTCGAATGGCAATCCTGATATCTCAGTCTCCTGAATAGCTAGGAGTATAGGCATGAGATAAGGCTGTTGCCCAGCTTAGAGACATTTTTTGACTGTCACATTGGGTAGATCTGTACTGGTGCTATGAGTAAGCAGTAAGGAGAATGAGGCTTGGAGCTAAACGTGTTACAACAAAAAGGACAGGTCCTAATAATAAAGCACATTCTGCTCAGCAGGACCCTAGTGTTGCACAACTGTATTCCTAGCTTGGTTGAGTTTATGAGTATCCTGGTTAATGGCCAACCTGGGTTAAAACATAAACACAGTTTTTGAGACATCTTCTGGATGAGGTGGCCCTTGCCTGTGATCCTAGCTTCCAAGAAGACTAGCATAATTGGATAGGTGTGTACTCAAAATAAGCATAGATCAGGCTGGAGGCATGGCTTAGTGGTAAGAGCACCACTATCAGAAAAAAGAGAGAGAGAAGAATTTCCAGGTGCTGGTGGCTCATACCTGTAATCTCAGTAGGCTAAGATTTTAGGATCACAATTCAAAGCCTGGGCAGGAAAGTCTGTGAGACTCTTATCTCCAATAAACTACTCAGAAAAAGCTGGAAGAGGTGCTGTGGCTCAAATTGTAGGGTGCTAGCTTTGAGCTATAGAAGCTCAGAGATAGCACCCAGGCCCTGAGTTCAAACCCCAGGACTAGCAAAAAAAATACATTGTCTCAAATGTCAATGGTGGATGTGAAGAAACTGTGCTCTATTGTAAATACACTTGCCAGGTGCTTACATACTTGGCATCAAACTTCCAGAAGCAGCTGCTCTTTCCTGGGGGAATAGATGGGGTCTTGCCATGAGACACATATAATTGAAGCATGAATCTACTGAGAAAAGTGAGGAGATTCTTCTCACCCCAAAGTTACTATCAACCTTTAAAATATTGCACTACAATTATTGAATACCTTTAAAAATACTTTTTGGTAGGTTTTGGGATATGCTCAGTAGCTGAACTCTTGCTATCATGGGTGAGGTCTGAATTCAGTTTTTCTTTTCTTTTCTTTTCTTTTTTTTTTTGCCAGTTCTGGGAGTGAACTCAGGGCCTGGGCACTGCCGCGAGCTTCTTTTCACTCAAGGCTAGCACTCTACCACTTGAGCCATAGCACTAATTCTGGCCTTTTCTGTTTATGTGGTACTGAGGAATCAAACCCAGGACTTCATGCATGTTAGGCAAACACTCTACCACTAAGCCACATTCCCAGCCCCTGAGTTCAGATTTTTGCACCACAAAAATTGTTTTGGATCATCAACAAGGTGACATTGATCAATGTGCATTGTACTCACAAACTGACATGTTCAATTGAAACCCCTTTGAAACTACTACTTACAAATAATTGAAGCAAAACAAAAGTTGTTTTGGAAAGATCGAAACAACCTACAACTCTAGAAGTTCCTAAAATGCCAAGTTGTATGTAGTGAAAGTTGAACACAATAGGTTTTGGAGCCTTCCTTCCACAATCTCATGTGTATATTGAAATTTGTTATATTAGCAAAATACTGTAGAGGTAGCTTTCAAGAAAAACTGCTTTTCTTTTCATTTAAGATTGATGAGTTTTTCTTTTTCTTTCTTTCTTTCTTTCTTTTTTTACATTATTGGAGTTTGAACTTTGATCCTCACGTTTGGAAGTGGTCAATCATTTTAGCCACTCATTACCTTTTTTTTACACTGGTTATTTTTTAGATAAGGTCTTGGTTTTTTTTGTTGTTGTTGTTTTTTGGGTCTGGTCTTGGGGCCTGAACTCTGGGCCTGGGCGCTGTCCCTCAGCTCTTCAGCTCAAGGCTAGTGCTCTACCACTTGAGCCACAGCACCACTTCCGGCTTTTTTCTTTTTTTGCTTATGTGGTGTTAAGGATTCGAACCCAGGGCCTCGTGCATGCAAGGCAAGCACTCTACCACTGAGCCACTTTCCCAGCCCCGATCAGGTCTTCTTTTATGCCTAGTCAGTTAGAATCACCTCCTATTTGTATTTTCCCATATAGCTGGGATGACAGGTACACACAACCAGGCCCAGCCATTGGTAAAGATGGAATTTCATGAATTTTTTTCCCAGGCTGGCCTCAAACCATGATCTTCTATAGTTCCATGTCCCAAGTAGCTAGGACTACAGGCTTACCCAGGTAGTTTCATAAATCCTTAATCTCTTAAGTATATGTCTGTTTCTCAGAAACTAGTCCAAAGAACTATGTTCTTTTTTTTTATTGTGAAAAAACTGTACAGAGGGGTTACAATTACATGGGCAAGATAATGAGTACATTTCTTATCAAGCATTGTAGCCTCCTCCTTTGTTTCCCCTTCCCATCCCTTTCCATCCTCTCCCCCACCACCACCAAAGTTGTAACGTTCGTTTTCTACATGACAACTTGTACTTCTCATTGTTGCAACGGGTCCACCTGTATCCTTATTTCGGTATAATTTGTGGAGGGGAAGGGGAAAAAGAATTATGTTCTTAGACCTGAGTTTCATAGGGCTCTGTTTCTAACCAAGCCATGAAAATACTTGCCAACAGGTTTACATGGACAGTCTAACTTACTTTTTCCCTTCCTCTTACCAGTTTCTCCCATCTGCATCTCGCTTTATTCAGCATGGGGGAGCAGAACCACTCTGCTGGAAAGGAGCTTCAGCACTGGACACGAGCAGAGGTTCCAGGAAAGAAAAGCTGGCCCTCCCAGGCCTACACCCTTGGAGCCATTTCCAACTTTATGTCTACTTTTCTGACCTTCCCTATCTATAAGGTGGTATTCCGGCAGCAGATCCATGCTATGGCTGTGTCAGAGGCTATGAAGCAACTTTGGCATGAAGGTCCTCAGTACTTCTACCGGGGGATCTACCCACCTCTTCTCTCCAAGACTTTGCAAGGGACTCTCTTGTTTGGGACATATGACAGCCTGCTGTGCTTTTTCTCCCCCGTTGGGCCACATCCCTTGGGACACCGCTGGGCTGCAGGCCTCATGTCTGGTGTGGTGGAAGCTGTGGCACTGAGCCCCTTTGAAAGAGTGCAAAATGTGCTTCAGGATGGCCGGAAGCAAGCTCGCTTCCCCAGCACAGTCAGCATTCTCAAGGAATTCAACTCCTATGGGCTGTGGGGGCGGCTTTCACTGGGCTATTATCGTGGTTTCTGGCCTGTTCTCGTCAGAAACAGCCTGGGAAGTGCTCTGTATTTTTCTTTCAAGGATCCCATCCAGGAGGGCTTGGCACAGCAAGGCCTACCCCATTGGGTTCCTGCCTTGGTATCAGGTAGTGTCAATGGGACAATCACCTGCCTCGTTCTGTATCCTCTCATTGTTCTGGTTGCCAACATGCAGTCCCATATTGGCTGGCAGAGAATGCCAAGCCTGTGGGCCTCTGCCCGGGATTTGTGGGACACTCGGGGCCGAAAGGTACTCTTGATCTACCGAGGGGGTTCCCTGGTTATTCTCAGGTCAAGTGTGACCTGGGGGCTCACTACTGCTATCCATGACTTCCTACAAAGGAAGTCTCACTCTAAGAAAGAGGTGAAAGACTGACTAGCTGCAGGAAATGTGATCATGGCATCTTTGCTCTAGATCTTGCCTGGTTGTTTCTATATAGCTTACTTCTTTGGCTTGATGATCTAATGCAATCGGTTTTAGTATCTGTAAAGTGTCATCGCCTGGGAGAAGTTCCCAATTACTAGCCTGTTAAGCACAAATAAAGCCCAACAAGATCCCCTGGGCACCCCAATCTATCCACAACTTCAGTAGCTTTACAGGCAAGAGGTCTGTAAATGTAATTCCTGCCAGAAATTCCTTATTACAAGGAAACTTAAAAAGATGATCTCATACAGTCATTGTGTGGCTGAGACTCCTCCAGATGGCCTCCAGGCCAAAATGAGTAGAACTCCAACTGCAATAAACTATGCTAGACTCTAAGGATGGAGATTCTGGAAAACTCAGATGGCTACATTTTCATGCTGTGGTTCACTGCCTCTATCACAACCCCGCTCTCTTATGCTATGGGTCCTAACTTTGGGGTGGCAGCTATGGCTGGAAATCCTAATTTTACCTGGCTTTAACTCATCAAGTGCAAGAATTGGTGAGTCTGGAGATGGCTGGATAGGATGAAATATAATTACGTGCAAAATAAGGAATTTTTACTCTAGGTTGTTTGGGGTTATCTGCTGGAACATTTTTTAATAGCAAGGTGATTACATTGTTTAGATACCCCCTTGCATTTCTTGAAGATGTCTGGAAGTAAGATGACCATATCTCTTCACAATTGTTCACGTTTTGATTAGTATAGTGACTATGATATAAATTTCTTTTTTTGTGTGTGCTGGTACTGGGCCTTGAACTCAGGGCCTCATGCTCTTAGCATTTTCACTCAAGGCTGGCAGTCTGCCACTTGAAACACAGTTCTACTTCTGGCTTTTTGCTGGTGAATTGGAGATAAGAATCTTTCAGATTGTCTACTTGAGTTGGCTTCAGCCCTGATCCTCAGGATCTTAGCCTCCTGAGTAGCTAGGATTACAGGTCATACAGATCATAACCTGTCAATTAGAGCATTCAAAAGATGACCCCTATATGCCTTTCAACTCAGCACACCACTCCTGCTTACATGGACCCCATACTCCAGCCAAAATGAACTGTTATCCTGTCCCTAAACATACCATGAACATATCTGTGGCCACACTGAACCTAACTGTCATTTCTACCTTGCAGCTTTTGGACAGTCTACTAAAGCCTTCCCGTTCTCAAAACCCAACTCATGTTTTCCATAGACCCTTTTCTTTTATTTACCCCAAACAAATGTGATGTTGTTAGTTGCTGTGATGTCCCTTTTTTGTTTTTTTTTTTTTGTTTTTTTTTTTTGGCCGGTTGTGGGGCTTGAACTCTAGGCTTGGGCGCTGTCCCTCAGCTCCTCAGCTCAAGGCGATTGAATGCTCTACCACTTGAGCCACAGCACCACTTCTGGTTTTCTGGTGGTTAATTTGAGATAAGAGTCTCACGGACTTTCCTGCCCTGGCTGGCTTTGAACTGCAATCCTAAGAGCTCAGCCTTCTGAGTAGCTAGGATTACAGGAGTGAGCCACTGGCGCCCGGCTTGTGATGTCCATTTTCTAAGAGCCCACCAACACAGATTTCACTGATCCCATGTGGCCTGACATTCTTTCCATTCTCCAATACCACCGACTTGACTGAAAACTTCTTCAAAGCCAGGATTCTTGTATGATTTATTTTTGTCAGTCGTGGGGCTTGAACTCAGGGGACTCTGTCCCTGACCTCTGTTGCTCAAGGCTAATGCTCTACCATTTTGAGCCACAGCTCTACTTCCAGTTTTTGAGTGGTTAATTGGAGATGAGTCTCACAAGGATTTTTCTGCCCAGGCTGGTTTCAAACCATAATCCTCAGATCTCAGTCTCCTGAGTAGCTAGGATTACAGGTGTGAGCCACTGACGCAGGGATCTTGTATGAATTTTTAAATCCTCCATTGTGCCTAGGTGCTCAATAATGTGGGTGAATTACTGAATTGATTTACAAAGCTGTGATATGGTCTATATCCTCAGGGTGCTGTCCCTTGTACCTGAAAATAATGTTACTGATCCATTGTCAACAATACACAGGACTTTGGGCTGTGTTTTGTTTTCTTTTAATAGTGGATTTAGTTTTGTGCTAATGAAATTGATGCCAATGATAATAATAATAATAACAATAATAAAATTACTTACAACTTAAATCATTTGGTGGGTTTGTATTCTTTATGCCATGGTTGTATCTGTGTGTGTGTGTGCACGCACATGTGCATGTCTGCACTTGCGCATGCATACACAGGTTCAAGATCTGGGGCTTGAACTTAGGGCCTGGTGGCTGTCACTTAGTTGCTTTTTTGTTTATTTGTTTTTTGCTCAATGCTGACACTCTTGCCACTTTAGCTACAGCTCTACCTCCAACTTTTGGATTGTTAATTGGAGATATGAGTCGCACAGACTTTCATGCTCAGGCTGGTTTCAAACTATGATCATGAAATATCATCCTCCTGAATAGCTAGGAACACAGGCATGAGCCATTGGTGCCCAACTCCATGGTTGTTGTTATAACCACTGTGGAAACTGAAATTTCACAATTGGAATCACATAGCATAGCTATACCATTTGTTTCAACTATGGAAATTTGAGAATTTCCAAGCTGACATGTGTTCACTCCTTATAGATGATAATGCCTTCCACTTGTGTCCCCTGACAAAACCAAATGTGTCTTATTGTATCTAGCAATGGAAATTCATCATTGAATGCGATAGTCGGCAATATGATACCAGAGTATTTGATAACAAAGTCAGTCCAAAAGAGCTGTTGGTGACCATCCATATCGGCAGATCCAGGTGGCTTAGGAGGCTGCCATTAGTCTTCCCTACCTACAGGTTCTATGTCCTGACATTCAACCAGTTGTGGATAGAAAATATCTTGAGGGAGGGCTGGGAGCTGGTGGTTCATGCCTATAATCTCAGGAGGCTGAGATCTGCAGATCACAGTTTGAAGTTAACCTAGGCAGGAAAGTCCTTGAGACTCTTGTCTCCAATTAACCACCAGAAAACCAGAAGTGGCACTGTGGCTCAAAATGTTAGAACACTGGTCTTGAGTGAAAAAGCTCAGAGACAGTAGCCAGGCCATGAGGACCAACAAAAAAGTATATGGGAGGAAATTACACTTACAGTTGTATTGAAAATATACAGACCTTTTGCTGGGTATGATTCCTAAATCATACAGTAATCTAATATGATAAGTGTTTCTGGTTAATTGAAGCTGAGTCTCTCAGACTTTCCTGCTCAGGCTAGCTTCAGAATGCAACCCTCAGATCTTAAACTCCTGAATAGCAAGGATTATAGGCATGAGCTACCAGTGTTTGGCCAGCGGGTAAGAACCAAGTGGCCAACAACCAATTTTCCATGATAGCTTTGAGGAATATCCTGATTAGAATGTCCAAATTTAACTGTTACAAAACATCACCACTCTGAATGTTCCTGATACTTCACACAAATGAAGGTGTCTCTAGGGTATTTACTTAAAAATATAACTACTGGTCTTTGTAGTATGGGCACCTTTACCTTAATGAGATAATACCTAACTTCATACTTAATTCATACTTAACCTTTCCCATTGTGCCACCTGCTGGAAAGTACTTGCTATTATCAGGCTCAACTTTTGCCTATGCAGAAGCATTTCAAAATTCCATTTTCCTAATTACTAATAATGTTCAGCATCTTTATATACGTCTGTTGGACATTAGGATTTCTTTCCTCCTGAAGCTTTTATCCAAAATAGTCACTGTTTTATTTCTATTGGGTTGTGTAAATTTTTCAAATTAATTTGTGGGAGTTATTTGTTCTAACTTTAGTCGTTTGTTCTGCATGTGTTGTATGTGTGTTTTCTCATTTGTTTGCTTGTTTTTCATATTCCCGACAGTTTGTTTTCATAAGTAGACCTCTTAGGTATAATATAGTCAAAGTTATCAATCCTTTCTTTTATAATAAATGCTGTTTGTGTCCCTCACCAAGGAAATCCTTCTCTGACCCCAATGTCATACAGATTAACATCTAAAATTTTTATAGTTTAACCTTTCATATTTAGGTCTTTAATAAACTTTGAATTGACTTGTGTAAAATGTAAGGATAGATGTCTATTTTCATTTTTTGTTATATAATGATATATATTTGTATATGTGTATATATATATATTCAAGTGTCCTAATATAATTTCTTGAAAAGCTTTTCCTTTCCCACTCCTTTATAATACTACCTCTGTCAAATATGAACTGTTCTTGGGACTATTTTTGTCTGTTCTATTTCACTGGTCTATTTGTCTAACCTCATGCCAACACATCACTGTTTTATTGCTGCAATTTTTTTCTTTTAGCATGGGGACCTGAACTCAGGTCTCTGAGCACTCAGCTTTTTCACTCATGGCTGGAGCTCTATTACATGAGCCATGCCTCCGCTTCTGGCTTTTTGCTAGTTATTTGATTATAAGAATCTTGCAGATTATTTTCTGCTTAGGATGATTCAAAACCTCTATCCTCAGATCTCAGCTTCCTGAGCAGCTAGGATTACAGGCATGAGCCACTCATGCCTGGCTTATTATGGTAACTTTGAAATAAATTTTGGTATCTGATAGGAAAGTCTTCTCACCCCAGTCTTGTTCTTTAAGAGCCTCTTTTTTTGGGGGGTGGGGTCCGGTCATGGGGCCTGAACTCTGGGCCTGGGCACTGTTCCTCAGCTCTTCAGCTCAAGGCTAGCACTCTACCACGTGAGCCACAGTGCCACTTCTGGCTTTTTTTTCTGCTTATGTAGTGCTGAGGATTGGAACCCAGGGCCTCAGGCATGCAAGGCAAGCGCTTTACCACTGAGCCACCTTCCCAGCCCTTTAAAAGCTTCTTAACTATTCTTATCACTATGTACAAAGAAACCAGATACAGTGTCCATTTTCTGCAAATCATTGTGCATATTTTAATTTCTGCAAAGGTAACAATAGCTTACTGGTAGATTGTTTCCCTAGCATATGCAAGGTCCTTTATTAAATTCTCAGCACCACAAAGAATAAACTATTAAATTTTAAAATAAAAATGTTTGATATTCTAATTTTAATGCTTCCTAATGTACCATAATTCCTCACAGCGATTAACATATCTTTGCTGTATTTGTATTAGTTGCCTAATTTTTTAAATAAATTACTGACAACAAAAGGATTCTCACAAATAGGACTTTCATGGGCTTCTTACAGGTAATGCTTTCTTATTTTGTTCAAGAGAAAATATGTATGTTAAGAAATCAGAAAAATGGGCTGGGAAGGTGGCTCAGTGGTAGAGCACTTGCCTTGCATGCTCGAGGTCCTGGGTTTGATTCCTCGGCACCACATAAGAAAAAAGCCAGAAGTGGCACTGTGGCTCAAGTGGTAGAGTGCTAGCCTTGAGCTGAAGAGCTGAGGGACAGCGCCCAGGCCCAGTGTTCAGGCCCCACGACCGGACCCAAAAAAAAAAAAAAAGAAAAGAAATCAGAAAAAAAATCAGTTACTTGTGTGGCTATCTTTTGATGATATATTCATCATTAATATTATAAAGTTACCAATAGTTAATTAGGTTTTCAAAAAGTGAACAGTGGTCAGGTACCAGTGAATCATTCCTGCTTCCCTAACTATTCAGAACCTGAGAACTGGAGGGTTATGGTTTGAAGCCAGCCAAGGAAGAAGAATCTGCAAGATTTCATTTCAAATTAACCAGCAAAACACTAGAAGGAAACTGTGACCAGCTGTGAGCAATAAAGCCTAGTGAGAACATGAGGCCTAAAGTTCAAGCCTCAGTAGAGGCACAGACACCTTCCCCCCATACAAAGTAAATGGCAGTCCTTAAGTCGATGATGATGAGATTGGAGAGGAATTGTGAATGCAATGCAAAAATAGCACAGGGAATCTATTCACCTGCCTACTTAGCATTTTCACTGAGATCCAGGTATTCCAAGCTTAATATGCCAAAGATTGAGCTTTTCCTCTCCACCTGTCCCTAGTTTTTCCACTTCATTTCCTGGGACTTTCAATACAAACAACCCTAACGTTAAGAAATGGAGTCATAAGGAATCATTAGGAAACTGAGTCATAAAGAAAGAGCAGAATATGAACTCAACAGGCCAGATCAACTTTAATGGAAAGTTCAAGAGAGATGCTGTGGTGACCTTAGGAGAGTCAGGAGACAAGGAGGCAAGACAGGGTTGGGGTGGCGGACTTAAATAGGGTAAGGGCTGGGGGGCAGGGTCATGAGGAACTGGAGGGTTCAAAGGGTCAAGGCCAGGTCGTAGGTAGCTTGAGAGTTCAGAGTTTCACAAGTTTACTGTGCAAGTCTGGGGGAGGGAACCTATTGTTTGAGCATCTCCTGCCCAGTCTCTCAGAGCCTATCACCTGAGAGGGTGGGGGAGTGGGCTTTCATATTTAGATTAAGATGTGGGGCTGGAGAAGTTCTGGAAGATCCCCTGGGGGAAGGCTAGTCCGTGGACCTAGCACTGGGAACAATATTTTTTTTTGGGGGTGGTCCAATCATGGGGCCTGAACTCTGGGCCTGGGCGCTGTCCCTCAGCTCTTCAGCTCAAGGCTAGCTGCTCTACCACTTGAGCCACAGTGCCACTTGTGGCTTTTTTCGTTTTGCTTATGTGGTGCTGAGGAATCGAACCCAGGGCTTCAGGCATGCAAGGCAAGCACTCTACCACTCAACCACCTTTCCCAGCCCCCTGGGAACAATATTGAGTTACAAAAACAAAACAGATTGCATCACCTAATGTATAAGGGAATTCCTTTCAGTCACCACTCTATTTCCAGTGCCTAAATAATTGCACCACACGTAAGTGCTCAATAAATATTTGTAGAATGAATGGACTGTGTCCTCAAAACTGTTCCATTAAAATTTTTCATTGGGCCATAGTGGTTCATGTCTGTGATCCTTGGTATGTGGGAAGCAGAGATTGGACTGATCATGTGTGTATGTTTCTGTTTTGAGTCTTTCCAACCAGCGTAAAAAACTCTGAAACCAAAGTGTCACAAGAGTATACAACAGGGTGGAGTGAGGTGGGGAAAAGATGAGACATCCCTGTTCATCGTTGTATGTCTAAAACCACCATACACGAGCCATATGGAAAATGAGGGATGCAATTGAGACTTAATTTTACTTCCATTTTGCCTTAAACGGGTTATAGTCTAGGCGAGTGCCCAGAAAATGACACTAAACCTTCAGTAAGTAACCAAAGTACCAGATTTTTAACTTTCCTCCTTTAACCGGCAGTAGGAGTTTCTGCTGTCTAAAATTGTGCACTACCATGATTTTTTTTAACTTCAACGTAGAGATTCAACCTTCAGTGTTTTCTGTCAACCAAGAAACATGCTAGAGATTAGGGATAAAGATAGTCTAGGCAGATTCTCCCATGATTGTTGTAATTTGTCTGATATCAAATTTTAGTGGAAGCGAAAGTGAGAAATGTGTCTTCTACATAGGACTGCATCATTTCACAGAGATGTCCAGCTGCGGGCGTGGATGAACTCGTACCCCCCACCTTCACCATGAGCAGCATTGCTGCTCTTCTGCCTGGCTAAGGATTGGGACAGAGATCACTGAGTTTCGCGTCCGTACCACGGTCATCTCAATATTCTATTTTAAAAAAAAAAGCGGAGAGTGCTTGAAAGATTTGATTCCAGGGAAATGCCGACCCCCTAGGCAGAATCGGTGAGAGGAAGTCGGCTCTCCCTTGGGTTCTCCCCGGGCGAGTCCGAGGCGGGGTCTTCAATGGCGTCTTAAAGCCGGCTGGCGAGTGGCAGGGGTGAGGGTGTAGCAGCTAGTGCTGAGATTCCGAGCTGCCGCCGTGGGAGGAGGAACCGAACGGTCCGGGATCCGCCGTCCAATCGGAGAGGTCTGGGGCGAGGCCTGAGGGTGTGGCCTGCTACAAGACTTAAAAAGACCCGCGCGGAACCGTTCAGCTACCCAACCGGCTCCGAGCCAGCCAGCGTTCTACTCCTGCCAGCGTCCTCAAGGGAGCCACCAGGCCTCCAGGTGAGAACGCGTGGTCCGGTCGGAGTCGGGGACCGTGAGGACGGGAGGGCGCGCGGGGCATGTGCGGGATTTGGGGAGGAGGAGGCGGCGGTCCGGGCCGATGTTTCGCGTCTGCGCGGCGGGTGGGTCGTGTGAGAGGCCGCGCCTTTGTTTCCTCGGGCGCAGCCTCCAGGTTTTCAGTTAAGGATGCTGAGCCTCCCGGGCGTCCCCGGACGGCCGGAGCCGTCCAGCCCTGTCGCTGCAGTTCCCAGACGGGGAGGACCCGGAGGAGGGTTGGGGCTACTCTGGAAGGGCTTTCAGGGTCTTGGCCCTTGGCTTCTTCACCCCCATTGGGCTAAGGCACACGACAGCGATAACAGGTACTTTGAAATGCACGCAAACTGCTCCTGACCGCCCGCCCTGCCATGATTCTGTTAATCCCAGGTTCGCCAGCGTTTCCTTTGGCGTCTGATCGCAGAAACAAGACTCTTGGGGCAGCCTTGACTGGACGGGGGCGAGTTTGGAACTTGTGGCTGCTTGGGGTCCTCTCCACTCTACCCTGGGCACTGGCCCTGCCGTCTCCCACCAGGGTGGGGCGAGGCATGCAGAGGAGAGAGCTTTCCCCTCTGGTGTGTGTGGGCTCCTATTGTCTCTTCTGAGCAAACCCGGAATGATTGGTGGTCACCAAACGTCTCGTGCCCACAGCCAGGCAGCTTACCTTCTTGCCTCTTACCCTGTACCAAGAACACAGGGTGAAATGAGACAACTCATTCTGCTGAAGTCTCACTTCAGATCCTAATTAGCTATTCTTTCTAACAGCATTTACAAACCAGTGACACCAAGATTGCATGACGTGTAATTGGTTAGACTGAATTAAATACCTCCTTTTACGGTAGCATCTTAAATCTACTGTCTTTGGACGCTTAAAGTAGAAATAAGTTAGCCCAGTTGTCTTGCTCTTTTTCTATCGGAAAGCGCAAAATAAAACGTAATTGAATAGAAAGTGAACATACTCAAATAGTATGCACCCTGTTAAAATACAATCCATTCCTTCTGGTAATCCCCTCCCCCCCTTTTCTCCCCTTTCTCCTCCTCCTCCTAACCTTCTTTCTTGTTTGCATATCCCTGTCTGCTCATGTGCTTCTCTCCCCTCCATTTTACCATTGCTGTGATTTTTTTAAAGTCAGACATATTGGCTCCGGGCTGATTGGGCATCTTGATTTCTAATGCATCTTCATCTAATATCACTTACTGCCTACCAGTAATAGTCTAATGACGTGGGAATTTAAAATATTTTAATAATGACCATATCTTTCTAAAGTTTGTTGACTATTTTCCTCTTAAAAATCATCAGGAAAAATATACATTGCTATTAAGACATTTTATTGTTACCTCTTGGTCTAATGAAGTTCTTCTTAGATGACTTTAAAAATTGTGTTTTTTTCCAGCCTCTTACTCAAGATGAGTGATAAACCAGACATGTCTGAAGTGGAGAAGTTTGACCGATCAAAATTGAAGAAAACTAATACTGAGGAAAAAAATACCCTTCCCTCAAAGGAAAGTAAGTTATGGGAGATTTCTGGTTGAGAGAAAAAAAAGGGAAAGTTGATAGGCTCTGTAAATAAACCTTTTTCTAATAAATATTGTCACAAAGTGAGCATTAGAATACCATTTTGTTCAATGCAGCAGTTAAAATATCAAATTGACCATTACTGGGATTAAGAAGTTCTTACCTGAGAGGCCCTAGTAGTAAGGATGAAGAAGAAAATGAATTTCTTGTAAAATTACTGAATCTCATTAAAATTAACCTTGGAAAAACTCAAAACCTTAGTTTTGTCCACTTTTGGTCATCTGGTATTTTTCTGCATCTCCAAATTTGAGTCTGTGATCTCATCCCTTTTGTAAAAAAACATGACACCCTTCACTCAATCACAACATAAGATGGATGGCAAAGTTTAGATCTGGAGTACACTTAAGGCTTCCAGACTCATGGGGTCAGTTTTGCTCTCAAGTTATATATTTTTGAACAAACTCTTAAGAATAGTCACAGATGCTACACAATAGGTTTTTGTTAGGTCAGTATTTTCCGAGCGTTCCAAAATCAGTAAATTATCTGAAAGTATGAAAGTATAATTTGCATATTACTTAACGATCAATTTGAAGAAAGTGTTTCATTTATTTTCAAATCCATGTAGTCCACAGAAAAAGTGGAAATAGCATAAATCTGCCTCAAATGATAAAAATTAAGTTGATGTGGAGCCTCATGAATATTTACGTGGCATGTATGGCAACCTTCATTTACTGACAAAATCCTTTTTACAATGCTGGGGATGAAACCCACGGCCCTGTGCTTGTCAAGTGAAGACTCTACCACAAAGCTATACCCTCCAGTCTGGTAGTGAAGTGTTCTTTTGCAAGAATCTGAAACTAATCCTAGGAAAAACATTCTCTTACTGACTTCTTATTTGTTTTTATCCCTAGCTATCCAGCAGGAGAAGGAGTGTATCCAAACATCCTAGAATGGGGATGTCCTTACAAGAGCAAGCAGCAACACCACCTGGGAGGCTTGTTTCTATAAACCTATGTGTAGCAATTTAAGGCACCTGCAGATGGTTTCCCTACTATTGTTTCCTGACTAAGAGGTCAGCAATAGCCAAGTTCCCTTAAATTTGTTTTTAAACTGAAATTCCAGACAGCAGATGCACATCACAGTAATCTCACCATTGATGACCCTTGTGTGTAACAGAGCAAGACAGCTTTAATCTAGTAGGTGCCTTCATTGCTTCATAATCATTAAAAAGTTGAATGCTTTTGCAGCTTCTTGATTTTCATTTCAATTATAACATTGAATTAATAAATATAGTCATGGTCTACCAGTGGTTCATTCTTGATGAAGGAATGAAATTAAACACAGTTCTCTTTGCCACTAAAATTGGCTGAAGAAAAACTTCTTTAGTAGATTATGCATCCGGGAAATGCTTTCTTTGTCCAGGTTCAGAGAGTTCTGACTGGCCAATGCTAAGTGCTATTCCCCTACAGTTGGAATTATAGTGTTAGAGAATCTGGGAAGAGGAGGTCATGTAGTGCCCCCCATTTTTGCCAGTCCTGGGGCCTGAACTCAGGTTGTGGGTGTTGTGCCTGAACCTCTGCACTCAAGGCTAGCACTCTACCATTTGAGCCACAGTGCCAATTGTGGCTTTTTGAGCAGTTTATTAGAGATAAGAGTGTCAGAGGGACTTTTCTGTCTGGGCTGGCTTCACGCCTTGATCCTCAGAGCTCAACCTCCTGAGTTGCTAAGGTTACAAGTATAAGCCACTGGTGCCCAGCTATGTAGGCCCTCTTAACTCAGAATGAATATATGGAAACATGGTATCTGAAGTGAGCTGCACAAGATGAAAAGGACTGGAATTCAAGATGGTTTCATTGCCTTCTGCAGTATTTTTCACCTTAATGGGAGGCTATTATTGGACAGGGAAGGGAGGAAGAAAGAATCACTTCTTAAAAACCTACCACACCATACTAAGCACAACATGGTCTTTTATAATGTGTACACTGTGTTATTTGACATTGGCTAATGACTGATAGCAATGAACCTCTGGTCTGGTTCTTGCACTGAACAGAATGTACTATCTTTTAAGCCAAGCACTCTTTGTTTTCACGATGAACATAAGTGCTAGTGACTGAACTGTTTCTTCCCCATTCATCAACTGAATTTTTTTCTCGGTCATGGGGCTTGTACTCTGGGCCTGGGCTTTGTCCCTTAGCTCTTTGGCTCAAGGCTAACCCTCTACTACTTGAGCCACAGTGCCACTTCAGTTTTCTGGTGGTTTATTGGAGATAAGAGTCTCATGGACTTTCCTGCCTGAGCTGTGACCCTCAGATCTCAGCCTCCTGAGTAGCTAGAATTATAAGCGTGAGCCACCAGCACCTGGCTTTTTAAAAAAAATATTTTTTATCTTTTGTTGGTTGTGGGGCTTGAACTCAGGGCCGGGTGCTGTCCCTGAGCTCTTTGGCTCAAGGCTAGTGCTCTACTATGTTGAACCACAGCTCCTCTTCTCATCAATTGAATTTGTAACCTCCACCGTGTCTACACCTGGTGATAGGCTCTTTTGGTCATAAGGATTGGGTTCTAATTTTATAGGCCTTTGACATTGTGAGAAGAGGAAGAGATATAGCACTCCCTTGTGAGGCCACAGTGAAGGTGACCCATCCACATATCAGAAAAAATGCAATCACCAGAGCCTGGTCCTGATGGATGTGGACCTAGGATTTATAGAACTGCAAGCAAATTGTATTGTCTACACTACCCAGTCTATGGTATTCTGTTATGGCAGCTTGCATGGACCAATACAATAAAAATGCATATACACAGATCTCAAAACCCAGTCACCTACAATTCTACCAGTTAAAACTGTTGGCCTGGCGGGCACTGGTGGCTCACACCTGTAATCCTAGCTACTCAGGAGGCTGAGATCTGAGGACTGCAGTTCAAAGCCAGCCCAGGCAAGAAAGTCCCTGAGACTCTGATCTCCAATAAACCACCAGAAAACCACAAGTGGCCCTGTGGCTCAAGTGATGTAATGCTAGCCTTGAGCTGAAGAGTTCAGGGACAGTGCCCTGCCCCAGACAAACAAAAAAAAACCCCCAAAACTGTTGTCCACAAAGTATATTCATACTGTGATCTATCTGTTTACCTATCTACCTACAAAAGAGGTTTTATTGTCCAATCATATTTGCAGCCTCATACTATCTTCCCTCTCCTAAGTGCTCACATCCTGACATCACTGTTTACAGGAAGTGGAAGCTATGTTGTTTGCTCTGGCATAAAGTTCTACAAAGAAATCAGGTGGATCAGTGTGCTTTCTAGGCATCTGATAGCTACTACTTGAACCATTTCTTCACACTTTTTTTGCTTTTAGTTATTTTTTAATAGGGTCTTATGCCTTAGACAATGATCTATCTACCCCTCCCATTTACTTGGGACTACAGGTGTGAACTACCATACCTAACTTGTTTGCTGAAATGAGGTCTTCCTAAAATTTTGCTTGGGCTGTCCCTGAACCATGGTCCTTTTGGTCTCTGCCTCCTGAGTAACTGGAATTCCAGGTGTAAGACACCATACATGGCCCTTTGCATGAGGATTTATACCATGGAAGACACCTTGTTGATCACCAATACCTTCACACGTAGTCTGGAACAATTGTCCAATAGAATCAGCCACTTTCAATGACATGCTGCTTGCTCAGTACCCAAAATGTTTCCTAGGACTGCACTGAAGACTCACCACAATACAATTAATTTGAAGTCTGTCATGGTGGGTCTGCCCCACAAGTTATGCAGATGGGGAACCATCCTGAATCCAGATAAATTCACATTTGCTCATATATCTCTGTATGTTGATTCTGTCATTTACCACATTTGCTCCCATTTAAATGGTGCTAATTGAAAAATTGATGGATGTGGTGTTATACATCCATGAGAGATTCAGCACTTATGCATCCAGCTCAAAGGAAAACTTGAGCATTGCCAGGTAAACTGGGGTTGTACAATAACTTGTGTTTTGTTGTATCTAATAGTCATCCTGGTGTATTTTTGGGGTTACTGTTCTAGTCACTAGGTTCACTTGCCTTACCAGTAAGGGGGAGATTTTTCTTCAATAAGCAGGGATCCGGATTTTAGGACCTTGTACTGTATCTATTTATTTGCAAAATCAACAGTACTAAGGCTTATTGTAATAGTTATAGTTATGGGGCAAGAAAAACAGCTGAAATGAAATGTTGTATTTTATGCACATCCAATTCCTTTGAAGAATCACATGTCAGTGTTTTCACACTTTTGTCCTGTCAATGTACATAGGCAGGTATGATCTGTTACTGAAAACAGAAAAGAGCAAATGAGTTTCATAAATACCCTAGAACTAAACTAATACATACCTACATTTAATAAGAGTCTTTGTCCTTGGTCTTTTATCTGTGTGGACATATGTATAACTTTAGCCTTAAAGGATTGCTATTAATAATGGCTTACCTCAGGTAGATAGGGCTTGATAGTGGTAGGCATAACACATGATAAATAGATGACCTGTAGCCCATCACAGCTTTTTCCTCCCACAATGCTCTAGGTTCATGCTCAATCAATAAAAAGAGGGGTGGGGAGTAGGCATATACACACAAGCCATCTAATACTTATTGCAAAGCCCAGGGAAGAAATACGGAAGGAGCCCCCATACTATAATAATTACCCTCTGAGAGGACTCCATTGGACTCCCAGTTCCATATTGAATTGAATCCAAATTTGGGATATGTTTTATTAAAAAGTTTGAGGGCTGGGAATGTGGCTTAGTGGTAGAGTGCTTGCCTAGCATGCCTGAAGCCCTGGGTTTGATTTCTCAGTACCACATAAACAGAAAAAGCCAGAAGTGGTGTTGTGGCTCAAGTGGTAGAGTGCTATCCTTGAGCAAAAGAAGCTCAGGGACAGTGCTCAGGCCCTGAGTTCAAGCCCCAAGACTGGCAAAAAAATTTGATTCACCTGGAGCTGGTGGCTCACACCTGTAATCCTAGCTACTCCGAAAGCTGAGAGTTGGAGGATGTCCAAAATCAGCTTCAGAAGAAAAGTCCTTGAGACTCCATTCTACACAATAACCAGCAAAGTGATGGACTAGAAGCATGGCTCAAGTGGTAGAGTGTGAGGTCCTGTGTACAAGCCCTAGATCTGGCACACACACTCAAAAAAGGGTTTGAATAAGTAAGTTTGGTTTGTATATCAGCATTGGCATTTTATGCACTACCAGCTGCAGAAACAGTACCTTTGTATAATGCCAATAATATTCCTTTGAGAATATGACTGAAAAATGTAAATGATGTTACTGCTAAAATATTTATGATCTTATTGATCCTTATGAAGTATACCTGAAAAAATTCTGAAACCGAATTTAATTTTAATTAAGTAAATGTAGAACCATAAACTACAAATTTATTGTTATTGTTGGAGTAACTTGAACTACAAAGGTACTAGGTATATGATTAATTTTTCATAAGTAATCTATTAACATGATGGATGCTCTCCCCTAACCCCAAACTCAAGGTGACCACTCAATGCCAGTGCCTTTTAGACCAAGTGGTGGCTCTGAAAAGAGCCTCTGGGTTTTGATATTCAGGGAGTGTCTTAATTCTGCTCATCTATTCTGGATGAATATGGCCAGGGCCCTAGTGGCCTTGGACTTGTTGAGTTTGCCCATGTGCCCTGGCAGCAGAAGGCACATGGCCCTGTGCATCTCTGCTGACATGAATGATGCTTCTAGAGGAAGAATCATTATATTCCTGTGGTGAAGTTTCTTCCAAGGAAAGTAATGAATTTTATTAAATGATTGCATTTAATCATTTTTTCTACATGATCATTCTGACACTTAACTCTTTGGTCCTGCTGTCTTAAGAATCAAGCACAGTTTTTTTCTGTCATAATGGCATTTACCTTTTCTTACCTCTGATTCTCCCAGTAATGTTGGTGGAATTATGCAGAGATTTGTTGTATGTGAAATTTTTGGAAATAAAGCACAGACGCTGATATCCCAGTATACTTTTTCATAAAACATACTCATGCAGATTTCATGAAATATATATATGAAAAACAGATAATATAGAAATATCTAAATCAAATTTGCAAGAAATAATTTGTATTTCAAGCTCCCTGGGTCTGAAATTACTATTCTAATTCTTTCAGATTTTTCTTCTTATTTTTAAACCAAAAAGCTTTCATGTGGTCCAAATATGTATGGAAGATGGGAGCATCTGATTGTAATCAGAGTTCTGAAT